ACAAGAGATGTGGTTGTATAGAAGAGTAATGAGGCAACAGAAACAAAGAAAAGAGGACTGAACTGCTATGAAATGTCAGTCCCCCCATATAGTAATGAATGCTGAACAATTTCAATTCTTCACCGATGAAGAGGAGACTCAACGCAACAGAAACAAAGAAAAGAGGACTGAATTGCTATGAAATATCTGTCCTCCCATATAGTAATAAATGCTGGACAATTTCCAAACAGAAGACTTGTGGCAACGAGGGATGTGGTTGTATAGAAGAGTAATGAGAAAACCATGTACGATATGTCTGAGCAACGAGTAAGTTTTACGACAAAAAGAAACAAAATGGACACTTATGCATAAAATCAGAAAGAGACAGTTGAAATTTCAAAAACTAACATTAATCGTAAAGAAGCAACTGGCGGGGACTGGTTGCAACAACATCAGAAGAAAGATTTGGTCATATGCTACTGACTATAGTTGCAAACTCAACCTTGCTTGACAGGACTTCAACACAGTGAAATATTTAAAAAAAAATAAGTTTCTCTGAATTTAATATACATACAATTCATTATACTCGGTGCACATTTAAGTTTAATAAAGTACTGCAAATAGGATTTTTGATGAATTGATTCCAAAAGTATTTTAAAAAAATGGAAGAATCTCGTTACGATCAAAAAGAGGACTGAACTACGTAATATCAATCGTCTTATGTGGCTATGAATACTGAACAATTTCCTCAAAGATGAAGAATAGACATGAGGCAACAGACATGCTGTTCTATTGAACGATACTAGGAATAACATGAACAGAACATGTGAGCAACGAGTAAGTTTTAAGGAAAATGGAAACAAAAATGACGTCATTCCGACATCAATAAGATTGATTCGTTTTCTACGGCTTATCAACCATTTGCAGGTTAGTTGAAGCCAGAAAATATTTTTAGATTTCAAGAATTTTTATTTTTTTAGATAATAATGTTTTAGGGATGCAAGTCTAACAAGTTAACTCATGGGTTGGGGAGGAGGGAGAAGTGAATCCATATCTTTCCCAAGGGTATTTGAGCATAAGTGAATATAACAAACCCAACTGGAGTTGGAACTCGGCTTTCCAATTAACAATTCGGTGCCGTTATCCATTACACCACCCGCACACCCAAATTTACAGCACCTGGTGTTCCCACGAATCAGAAAAAGGCAGTTGAAAATTCTAGGGCGTATATCGAGGAAAGAAAACTTTGAGAAGTTGATACTCTTAGGACATAATGTAGGCAAGAGTGGTGAGGGTAAACAATGAATAAATTACCCAAGGAGCTCGTGTAAATGGGTGGTAGAACAGGGACTGGCAAAGAGAGTAAATGGAGAAACATTGCCAGTCGAGAGACACGATCGTTCACGCCTTGAAGAGGTAAGGTATATCAAAGAAGGACGCTATACGAGAGTATTCTGAAAGGATTCAGTCAAACTAAGAAGAGATTAAAAAAATATTCTACTGTTTGGTCATTTGGTCATATTTTGGGAACCAGGCGTAGTTGAAAGCTTTTTAACACTCCCTCTTATGTTGTCGATACGTTTATGTAAATATTATGTCGCTAAAATCAAAACTGACCTCCAAAGTACATTTGTGATTTTTCTGTCCTTGTCGGGTATCTTATAACCTGTTACAGACGCGACTTTTTAAGTCTATGCAAATATATCGGGCGTCTATAGTGTCGCCAGGTGCACTTCTCGGATAATACGGCTGCTTCTTGAATCAACTGAGGCAGATTCCAAACCAATAGATTACCGTCTTTTTTCGAGTCTAAATTCCCACGGTGGTCATTTATTACCCCGTGAATTATTCGGACAAATATCTTTGTCGATTTTATTACGATATTTCGATGGACCTATTCTTTGACCTTCGTGGAGTATAACAAGGTGACAATGACGCTAACACTGAGGGGTTATTAAGTGTAAAAGAGAATGAGAAAACTTTAGCGAGAAGAAAAGAGTATAAAAGAACAGGATTCAAGAAGACAAAATATGGCGATTGGTGTTGCATTTAAATTTTTTAAATCTTTGGTGAAACCTGAAGTAACAGAAAAGTATTAGAAAATAATTTATGGTTACATCTGTATATTTCAACAGCAAAACGATGAGACTAGTAACACGCTTAATTATTGAATTTGTCAAAAATGGTTTCCGAAGTTACAGGCTGGACATTTTTCGCTGAACGGTGCTCCGCGGTCGGATAGAGCAGTTAACGCTGATAACGATCAAACTAAGACATTACTAGAGAAAAAAAAAAAGGAATGATTTATGATGCAGATGGTATCAAGCTCTGAAAACCATTTGCAACAGGTAGTTTGGTAGTGGCTTTAATGTGTGGCTTCCACATAAAATCCACATTTTTAAACAATAAAAAAATATGTTGGACGACATCTTTGTGTCCGATTCGCTTTTTAACTTGACAAAAATTTGACTTTTTTTATTATTTTTTTAAGGTTGAGGATAATATGCAACATTGAAATAAATGATTCTTTTAAAAAAAATAAAAAATTGCTGAGCAAAATACCTTTTTCATTAAGCTACGAATTAATTGATGTTCCTGCGCGCGTGTATATATAAATAAATTGCCAAGAGTAGCATGGTGTGTAGTTTGGAAGATGGGGGAAAAAAAAAACTTATATATATATATATATAATTTATTTTACTCTTCCACGATTTTTTGAACAGGAGTAGAGGTAAGTCCTTTGTTTCCTATTAGGATTGGGTTTCCAATCCCCTATATCTTTTTCTTTTCCTTCCGGTGGCCCTTTACGACCATCTGACATTATCATCTTGTTTCGGATGGCGTTTCTTACACTCATTTACCTCAGTGCCTCTTGGGCCTTGAACAGGGTGAACATCATTGTAAAAAAAAAAAAAAAAAAAAAACTTTCATCATATTTGACTGATATAAATATATCCTGATTTTATTTTTACCAGTATTGATTGGTTAATACTAATTTTATTGTGAAAACATTGACAAGTAAAAGTCTTACATAGTTTTTTACAGTTACTAACCTAATCACACGGTATCAGTGTTTGAGCGCCCGGTGTGGATCAAATTCGGTTGTTTGTGAATAGAAATATGGAAAAGATACTTGTTTCTTTTATCTGAGTTTAGTATTTAGAAAGTTTTCGATGAGAACAAAACAAAAAATCACTCCCCGTCATACGGGAACATGATCGGCGGCATAGTAACAATAACTTTGAATTGAATTAACGTCATTCGTTCAGCCTGCCTCGATCTTTCTTTTTCTTTGATTATCACCGTGACCTGAGTCAGCCATTGTCGCTGGGCTTTTCTCTAAGAGATTAGGCGTGACCATTTTTAAGTGGAACACTCGCTGCACCGGTTGATCCACAGCTTTATGGATATTTTTTAAACTAACATTTGTACGCGGTGCATTAAAAATATCCGACCTTTGGGCATAAAAAAAAAATCAGTTTTGTAGATTTCCCAAATTTTATCCATCACCTTGAAAACACTCCCCTTGGGAGTTTACACTTCTCCGAGCGGTTCTGACACTACTGGTAACACCTCTAAAATGCTATGGAGCTCTACCATCCCTTTTCTTATAATTTCCTTTCGTGACTCAAATTGCTTCCCTTTCAGCGTGGTTTTCGGATTGGGGAAGAGCCATAAGTCACATGGTGCCAAGTCAGGAGAGCAGGGAGCCTGTCGAACAAGTGGTGTGTTGTCCTTGACCAGGAAAACTTGCATTATGTGGGCAGAATGAACAGGTGAATTTCGCCGACACTTTCCCCATGTACAAATTCTCTATTAAAATGGAATGAACTGATCCTTTGCATATTTCCACTTCGTGAGCAATTTCCTGAATACACGACGGTCTTTTATTACTATTCGCTGAACCTTTTCAATCGGCTCCTCATTTCGGCTTGAGGATGGCCTGCCTGAGCGTTCCTCGATCTCCACTAACGTGCGGCCATATTTGAAGCAGTTGTGCCACCCCTTGATCTGAGTTTTGCCCATGGGATCATCGCTAAAGGCCTATTAAATCTTCTGGATGGCTTGGGCATCAGCAAGATTTTGGCAAAACTTGATACAATTTTTCTGTTCGAGGCGTTCGGTTATCTTGCTTAAAAACGATAAATCCGACAAGCGCGCACTACATGTCTGTACTCTAGTCGTAACAGCCGAGAACTAATGCGACCTACGGGCACGAAAATGTTCATGAGTGCATGGGAAGGCTGGCGTCACATCCCACCCAAAGGGTTTTGCCCACACGGCATTAGTTTTGGCGAGAAAAATTAAAATTGGATCATTTGTGAACGCAGCTCGGAGTTTATACACAACTGATACAAAATAGGCTATTCGGCGCGAGATAAGAGTTAGCGATGCTAGTCAAGCTGACCATACTATATGATGAAATGGTATGCGTTGGTTAATGATAGCATATTTTGTTTAATTAATAACACGAGACTTGAACCTTTTATATTTACTATGGCATTTTATTTCAGATTTCACTTTATCAATTATTCTCGGACAGTTTGTTGGGCGCAACCTCCAAAACTTTCATCCGAAACGTGGTCCTTACATTCTCGCCTGTGATGCATGGGATACCACCGAACTCTCCTCAGAGATCTATCTATCAAACGGTTTTTCCTCCAGCACGCACATCAGTCAGTTATCTTTCGATATATGACTGACGAGGCAGATTTTTTTCCAGTAGTAGGTTGCCATTTCTTTCTGCGGTAGTCTATAAAATCCGGTCTGTCCTGTTATTTACCCATAGGTGGAGGGAGAAGATTCATACCTTTCCCTAGAGTATTAGCACATAAGTGAATGTAATAACGCACATAGCCACCTGATAGTAAACTTCTAACTTATTTATTAGTAATTAGGTCAACTACGTAATTGAACTAGAATTGGTTAAATAAAACTATTAGTAACGGAAGTGAATACTACTGGCCTATTTAAATAGACACATGACCACTTATACAAAAGAAAACTTCATAAATGGTCTAATGGTTAGGATTCTGCGATCTCGCCGAATTCCCCGTTTGGTAAGAGGATCACCAGACTGTACGGAGATTGTTGTGCAGAGCCTCCGTCGGTTGCCGCGTCGAGCGCCAATGTCACATGCACCGCCGCCCCTCAGAAGTGCTGTCGAACCAATAAAGATAGCTTATTTAATCAAAGAGTGCCTTGTGTTGTCTTTCGGGCTTCCGAATGAATCATTTCCCCAACTTCATCCCTTTGTGAGCATACTCCGACCATAACATTTTTGACCAAAAACCGACATGCTATCTTAAAAAAAAAAAAAAAACATGCCGTAAGGTTGATTACTTGTTCAGCGAATCTGTCGTGGACCAAGGATGTTGTTATATCAGCAGTTGTATATAATATCACTGCTAGTGTATTACCATTTCGTGAATGGGATCTCGGCCATGCAGTAGTTTTAAATAGGCTCTCTTGATGATATATCGAAGTGTACTGTTGCGGCTATACTTTCTGACAATTATTCTAGATATTTTGCTAATAATACTTGTTGCTTGTTGCCGTGACTCTTCACAGAACCATGTCAATGCCTAAAATAGAATTTGTCAGGAGAAAGTTTCACTCAAACAAATTTTTCTAGAGAACTACTACTTTGTAGAACATGCTTCCGTGTGGATGCTTCCCTAAAAACTGTAACTTATATATATATATATATAAGATATGTTATACTACAAGTTATGGGTTAAATAACATTTCTGACTGCGCTCTTTTACCTTGAGGTGCCAACTAATCTTGAAGGAAAATGAAGGATGAAAAGTGACTGGTTCTGTCAGGTTACCTTGCCTTAGACACACGAATAGCAATATACAGGGTGCGCCAACGACCCTCATCGATAACACGACCTATGGCGTGACATCCATTTGAAAATAGATGTCACGGGACCTGCATATATTTCTTTAGTTAAGCAAATCTGCTTAATTATTTTTTCTAAATGATTACTTTTGCGTCTTTTATTTATTTACCTTTTCACTAATTTTCTGAAATAAATGAACATTTCATTCATTCTTTCAAACTAACAGGGTTGGAGAATGTGTTTGTATTATATCCAACAAAAACAATTCATGCTGGTAATATCATGGGGATCAGTTTGTTACTACTATGCTTTCCACTAACAAAACGTAGTAAAAAATATATATATATATATATATATATATATATATATATATATATATATATATATATATATTTTTTTTCCCATTTGGGACATACAGGCCTGCCCAGTAATTTCAGTTGTGAAATTTTTTTTCCATTTTACCCACCGCTATTACAGATCCCGACTCAGCCTGGTTATTTTATTTTTTTATTTTTTTCTCAGAATGTCCGTTTATTTTAATCTCCTACTGCCTCCTTTTATTTGTCACAAAAATATTAATTTCCAGTGAATTTTCCAACCTATCTTTCTTTCTCTGGCTTGAAAGTAAATTGCCTAAACCATCCTAAAACATGATTGAATTAAAAGAAAGACTTGGAATTTTTGTTACACATGCCGTTTTGGTGGATTTGAAATGATTGACAAAATGCTGAAACATTAATTTAAAATAACATAAGAGTAAATTCAAAAGATGAAAGGTTAGTTATATATTTTTATCTGATGATTTCTTTGTCTTTCAATGCGAGTTCGAATATTTTAAAATAGATATGGTGTGACTAAGATTGATAACAATCAATGATCCTTATTGTTTTCATATCGATGTTACTCTGTTTATAACTACTGAGCGTCTGTGCGTTCGTCTATTTGTCTGCTCTCTTCGCGTTCGTCGTTTGCTCTCTTCGCGTTCGTCTATTTGCTGCCGTCTCTCTTCGCGTTCGTCTATTTGCTGCCGTCTATCTCTTCGCGTTCGTCTATTTGCTGCCGTCTATCTCTTCGCGTTCGTCTATTTGCTGCGTCTGTCTCTTCGCGTTCGTCTATTTGCTGCCGTCTATCTCTTCGCGTTCGTCTATTTGCTGCCGTCTATCTCTTCGCGTTCGTCTATTTGCTGCCGTCTATCTCTTCGCGTTCGTCTATTTGCTGCCGTCTATCTCTTCGCGTTCGTCTATTTGCTGCCGTCTATCTCTTCGCGTTCGTCTATTTGCTGCCGTCTATCTCTTCGCGTTCGTCTATTTGCTGCCGTCTATCTCTTCGCGTTCGTCTATTTGCTGCCGTCTATCTCTTCGCGTTCGTCTATTTGCTGCCGTCTATCTCTTCGCGTTCGTCTATTTGCTGCCGTCTATCTCTTCGCGTTCGTCTATTTGCTGCCGTCTATCTCTTCGCGTTCGTCTATTTGCTGCCGTCTATCTCTTCTTCGCGTTCGTCTATTTGCTGCCGTCTATCTCTTCGCGTTCGTCTATTTGCTGCCGTCTATCTCTTCGCGTTCGTCTATTTGCTGCCGTCTATCTCTTCGCGTTCGTCTATTTGCTGCCGTCTATCTCTTCGCGTTCGTCTATTTGCTGCCGTCTATCTCTTCGCGTTCGTCTATTTGCTGCCGTCTATCTCTTCGCGTTCGTCTATTTGCTGCCGTCTATCTCTTCGCGTTCGTCTATTTGCTGCCGTCTATCTCTTCGCGTTCGTCTATTTGCTGCCGTCTATCTCTTCGCGTTCGTCTATTTGCTGCCGTCTATCTCTTCGCGTTCGTCTATTTGCTGCCGTCTATCTCTTCGCGTTCGTCTATTTGCTGCCGTCTATCTCTTCGCGTTCGTCTATTTGCTGCCGTCTATCTCTTCGCGTTCGTCTATTTGCTGCCGTCTATCTCTTCGCGTTCGTCTATTTGCTGCCGTCTATCTCTTCGCGTTCGTCTATTTGCTGCCGTCTATCTCTTCGCGTTCGTCTATTTGCTGCCGTCTATCTCTTCGCGTTCGTCTATTTGCTGCCGTCTATCTCTTCGCGTTCGTCTATTTGCTGCCGTCTATCTCTTCGCGTTCGTCTATTTGCTGCCGTCTATCTCTTCGCGTTCGTCTATTTGCTGCCGTCTATCTCTTCGCGTTCGTCTATTTGCTGCCGTCTATCTCTTCGCGTTCGTCTATTTGCTGCCGTCTATCTCTTCGCGTTCGTCTATTTGCTGCCGTCTATCTCTTCGCGTTCGTCTATTTGCTGCCGTCTATCTCTTCGCGTTCGTCTATTTGCTGCCGTCTATCTCTTCGCGTTCGTCTATTTGCTGCCGTCTATCTCTTCGCGTTCGTCTATTTGCTGCCGTCTATCTCTTCGCGTTCGTCTATTTGCTGCCGTCTATCTCTTCGCGTTCGTCTATTTGCCGTCTGCCGTCTATCTCTTCGCGTTCGTCTATTTGCTGCCGTCTATCTCTTCGCGTTCGTCTATTTGCTGCCGTCTATCTCTTCGCGTTCGTCTATTTGCTGCCGTCTATCTCTTCGCGTTCGTCTATTTGCTGCCGTCTATCTCTTCGCGTTCGTCTATTTGCTGCCGTCTATCTCTTCGCGTTCGTCTATTTGCTGCCGTCTATCTCTTCGCGTTCGTCTATTTGCTGCCGTCTATCTCTTCGCGTTCGTCTATTTGCTGCCGTCTATCTCTTCGCGTTCGTCTATTTGCTGCCGTCTATCTCTTCGCGTTCGTCTATTTGCTGCCGTCTATCTCTTCGCGTTCGTCTATTTGCTGCCGTCTATCTCTTCGCGTTCGTCTATTTGCTGCCGTCTATCTCTTCGCGTTCGTCTATTTGCTGCCGTCTATCTCTTCGCGTTCGTCTATTTGCTGCCGTCTATCTCTTCGCGTTCGTCTATTTGCTGCCGTCTATCTCTTCGCGTTCGTCTATTTGCTGCCGTCTATCTTTCGCGTTCGTCTATTTGCTGCCGTCTATCTCTTCGCGTTCGTCTATTTGCTGCCGTCTATCTCTTCGCGTTCGTCTATTTGCTGCCGTCTATCTCTTCGCGTTCGTCTATTTGCTGCCGTCTATCTCTTCGCGTTCGTCTATTTGCTGCCGTCTATCTCTTCGCGTTCGTCTATTTGCTGCCGTCTATCTCTTCGCGTTCGTCTATTTGCTGCCGTCTATCTCTTCGCGTTCGTCTATTTGCTGCCGTCTATCTCTTCGCGTTCGTCTATTTTTTTTCGTCTATCTCTTCGCGTTCGTCTATTTGCTGCCGTCTATCTCTTCGCGTTCGTCTATTTGCTGCCGTCTATCTCTTCGCGTTCGTCTATTTGCTGCCGTCTATCTCTTCGCGTTCGTCTCTTTCGCGTTCGTCTATTTGCTCTATCTCTTCGCGTTCGTCTATTTGCTGCCGTCTATCTCTTCGCGTTCGTCTATTTGCTGCCGTCTATCTCTTCGCGTTCGTCTATTTGCTGCCGTCTATTCGTGCCGTCTATCTCTTCGCGTTCGTCTATTTGCTGCCGTCTATCTCTTCGCGTTCGTCTATTTGCTGCCGTCTATCTCTTCGCGTTCGTCTATTTGCTGCCGTCTATCTCTTCGCGTTCGTCTATTTGCTGCCGTCTATCTCTTCGCGTTCGTCTATTTGCTGCCGTCTATCTCTTCGCGTTCGTCTATTTCTTCGCGTTCGTTTGCTGCCGTCTATCTCTTCGCGTCTATCTCTTCGCGTTCGTCTATTTGCTGCCGTCTATCTCTTCGCGTTCGTCTATTTGCTTGTCTATCTCTTCGTCTATCTCTTCGCGTTCGTCTATTTGCTGCCGTCTATCTCTTCGCGTTCGTCTATTTGCTGCCGTCTATCTCTTCGCGTTCGTCTATTTGCTGCCGTCTATCTCTTCGCGTTCGTCTATTTGCTGCCGTCTATCTCTTCGCGTTCGTCTATTTGCTGCCGTCTATCTCTTCGTCGTTCGTCTATTTGCTTCGCGTTCGTCTATTTGCTGCCGTCTCTATCTCTTCGTCGTTCGTCTATTTTCGTCTATTTGCTGCCGTCTATCTCTTCGCGTTCGTCTATTTGCTGCCGTCTATCTCTTCGCGTTCGTCTATTTGCTGCCGTCTATCTCTTCGCGTTCGTCTATTTGCTGCCGTCTATCTCTTCGCGTTCGTCTATTTGCTGCCGTCTATCTCTTCGCGTTCGTCTATTTGCTGCCGTCTATCTCTTCGCGTTCGTCTATTTGCTGCCGTCTATCTCTTCGCGTTCGTCTATTGCTGCCGTCTATCTCTTCGCGTTCGTCTATTTGCTGCCGTCTATCTCTTCGCGTTCGTCTATTTGCTGCCGTCTATCTCTTCGCGTTCGTCTATTTGCTGCCGTCTATCTCTTCGCGTTCGTCTATTTGCTGCCGTCTATCTCTTCGCGTTCGTCTATTTGCTGCCGTCTATCTCTTCGCGTTCGTCTATTTGCTGCCGTCTATCTCTTCGCGTTCGTCTATTTGCTGCCGTCTATCTCTCTCTTCGCGCGTTCGTCTATTTGCTGCCGTCTATCTCTTCGCGTTCGTCTATTTGCTCTTCGCGTTCGTCTATTTGCTGCCGTCTATCTCTTCGCGTTCGTCTATTTGCTGCCGTCTATCTCTTCGCGTTCGTCTATTTGCTGCCGTCTATCTCTTCGCGTTCGTCTATTTGCTGCCGTCTATCTCTTCGCGTTCGTCTATTTGCTGCCGTCTATCTCTTCGCGTCTCGTTCGTCTATTTGCTCTATCTTTCGCGTTCGTCTATTTGCTGCCGTTTCTCTTCGCGTTCGTCCGTCTCTATCTCTTCGCGTTCGTCTATTTGCTGCCGTCTATTCTTCGCGTTCGTCTATTTGTCTATCTCTTCGCGTTCGTCTATTTGCTGCCGTCTATCTCTTCGCGTTCGTCTATCTATTTTCGCGTTCGTCTATTTGCTGCCGTCTATCTCTTCGCGTTCGTCTATTTGCTGCCGTCTATCTCTTCGCGTTCGTCTATTTGCTGCCGTCTATCTCTTCGCGTTCGTCTATTTGCGCGTTCGTCTATTTGCTGCCGTCTATCTCTTCGTTCGTCTATTTGCGTCTATCTCTTCGCGTTCGTCTATTTGCTGCCGTCTATCTCTTCGCGTTCGTCTATTTGCTGCCGTCTATCTCTTCGCGTTCGTCTATTTGCTGCCGTCTATCTCTTCGCGTTCGTCTATTTGCTGCCGTCTATCTCTTCGCGTTCGTCTATTTGCTCTCTTCTTCGCGTTCGTCTATTTGCTGCCGTCTATCTCTTCGCGTTCGTCTATTTGCTGCCGTCTATCTCTTCGCGTTCGTCTATTTGCGCCGTCTATCTTTCGTCTATTTGCTGCCGTCTATCTCTTCGCGTTCGTCTATTTGCTGCCGTCTATCTCTTCGCGTTCGTCTATTTGCTGCCGTCTATCTCTTCGCGTTCGTCTATTTGGCTGCCGTTCGTCTATCTCTTCGCGTTCGTCTATTTGCTGCCGTCTATCTCTTCGCGTTCGTCTATTTGCTGCCGTCTATCTCTTCGCGTTCGTCTATGATATATAGATATGAACATAGAAATGAATATATAGAAAAGTGCGTTGATATAAAGGTGTGTGTGTGTATATATATATATATATATATATATATATATAAATAAACTGAAATTAGAAAATATGAAGAATTATTTTATGTTGATCGATTTTTGTTTTATAAAAACAAAACAAAATCTTTTATTGAATATGGCGCCCATATGAAGCCTCACAAAAATACATTTAGCTTGAGAACAGTTCTCTTACACAAATCTCTTTGGCCTGGTTTACTTTCCACGTCTCATCATTTTATTGTCGTTCAAACAATATCCGATGGGAATACGGGTGGGAGTCTTAACAAGCACGTGGACTTAGGCGATGTTTCTTATTCGGACTTTCTTCCCAATTTAATAAGTTTTGTCATTTACGATTTTATCGAGCGTCCTTGGAAGACGAAAGAACAAAGAATGTGACTTGTCATGTATTTACACCATTTAGAAATTTGAATCCTCAGATTAAATGCTAAGAGTATTTTCAATAGATTCGTGATACTTTTAAAATTTATTGCGAACCGTGGGCTAATTGGGTTATTGCGAACGGTGGACTAATGCTTGAAAAAGACTAGTGTTAAGACACTTTCTCATGTCATTTTCTCTCGATACTAGAATGCACTCAATGTAAGGCTTGAAAGTCACTTAATTTTTACTGAACGAGATGAGCTATATGAATGAAAGAGAATATTATCCAGATAAAAAGAATATAGATAACGATTTTCCTTTCACTTGAAGAGGTTAAAATTATACTAGCAGCTAGAGTAAGTTCTCTTACAGTGGCGATTCTTAGGAAAAACTGAGTGGATCTTTCGCCTTACCTTTGAAACACGAAGAAAATGAAGGTGTTTCGACTTTGTGGAAATAGCATTGCGTGTACTAACAATAAATGTCTGAACTGATGGCACTAAAGAATGAAGCTTATCTGAAAATTTACCAAGGGAATGGCGACAGTGTAGCAATAAATTTACGATACAGCGTCTTTGGGAAAGAGACTTCAGAATAGAAAATACCCCCCCCCACACACACACACACACAAGACCACGTAAATGACTTTGAACTCGATCAAGACTGGTAAGTAAGGATTAGGCAGCAATATTCTAAATTTAGACAAATCTGACTTTTGTAAAGAAAATCCAGGTACTTCTTGGATAGATAGAATGAGTCGACCATTTTCCCAGCACCTTTTAATAATGGATCGTATATATGATGCCTGAAGTGAACTTCTAATCCAAGAGACGTTTCAAGTATGGAGCTTCATTGAGAATGCATCCTTTCACCGTGGCAGGAAAAACTCCGGTTCTAAGCGTTGATGATGAATCGATACTAACTTGATTTTGGTCTTATTGAAATTTATAAGCCAGAATTTATCTTTTGGGCTATTTTTTTAAAAATTATGTTGTAATTTTGTCTTTGTTCAAAACAGCCGAGAATTAGGAAGGTCGTAGTTAGAGTATTGAATAAACAGAAGACTAGGTAGAGGAAACAAAGAAAAAAGAGGTTTATTAAATATTCATACATAGAACGGAATAACATAAGTAAATCAAATACTACTCAAATCCTACTCTAATGTAGCTACTTACCATATTTATAAGTAGAAGCAGCCCATTGTTACAGTAGTAGGTAAGAGCACCCTGAAGACATGATTGTTAAGTTTTAAACCTGTTTTCTTGTAATTTTCCGCTTTGGTTCAGAGTACGACGAAAGAAAGAATAACAGCAATATTAAAATACAAATGACACCTACAGTATGTATCTTCCTTTCTAGTCTTAGTAAATAAAGTTTAAAAATAAATAGCATTAAGTGAACATGAATAAAAAAAAATGATATAATTCTGCTTGTTCCTTATTTAGCACTGCCAATAACTTGTAATGTTGTCTTTGTCCAAAATATCTGAGAATTAGGAAGGCCGTAGTTAGACAGTATTGAAGGGACAGAAGACTAGGTAAAGGTTTATTAAATAATCATACATATTACAGAATAACTTAAGTAAATCAAATACTACTCAAATCCTCCTCTAATGTGGCTACTTGACATATTTATAATTAGGAGCAGTCCATTGTCACAGTAGTAGGTAAGAGCAAGAAGTACATTGCCCTACTCTACAACAAATTATTTTACCTCCAAGCAAGGCAATAAAAGCCACTAAAAGAAACAGATGACGATTAACATTGAATTTCCATTTTTTTTTAAGATCAAATTTTTATTTTCAGGTTATAAAAATGCGTGTCGATAATCATACGCACCGGAATAATCATTTAAAAATGTTATTGTTGAATTATGCTTCTTTTTTCATAATAAATATTGTTTAAAAACGCCTGATAATTATGCACCAACCATATATATATATATATATATGACTGATCCTATCAATAAGTGTGATTTTTGTCTGATAACGTTTTTATATATACAGACAATGCATTCTAACATTTTATGCAAATATATGTATATATATATATATATGTGTGTGTGTGTGTGAAAAACTTGAAAAAAACACTAAATTTTGGTCAATTATGTTATTTTTGCTTATGTGAATATCAGAGATATTAAGCCGTAGTATGAAATTGATTTTCTACCTAATTGCATTTTTTTTTATACAATCATCTCAAAAATTCAATTTGATGGTGCGTAAGGATGAAAAAAATAAAGAAAAAACTGTGATTAACCCAACAATAATTAATTCAAAGAAATGACATACCAATATAAGACGATATGACATCTTTTATGTCACCAATTTAATATCCGCCTTTTCGACACTTTTTTTAGCCATGTTTAAATAACTGCACACAGTTTTCATCAAAACGAAGGAGTGCAAAGCCATTTACCCAGATTTAGCCTTTCCCCTCGTCCAACCGTGAGCAGTCAGCCTCATCCTACTCCACAAGGGGTCGACTACATCTCCACTGATCAGCAAATTTAAACCAACAAAAATAATACAAACTCGACTGAAATTGTAATATCGGGCGAATAAATCACGCACAGACATTAACCTTTCATAATTCTTTTTCATTTATTAATATTTAATAAACTTATAAAGCCAGGAAGAGACACGGCATATAAACGAGAAAGATTGGTCATATCTGCTTTTGATGACTTTTTTTTTTTTGATTAACAGGATGAAAGATTCTTCAGCAGTGGGATACAAGCACCGTAACACAACTAGAAGACGTGTGCGGACCGAAAGAGGATTATATTGGAAAAGAAACTTTATTTGATCAGATTCCATGAAAATATCTTGGTCAGCCTATGAACTTTTCAGCTGACCCTCGTACTTCCTAAATATATTATTTATTCATTATTTATTTCGTAGATTTCTTATTTATTACATAAGTAAATAAATTATTAAAAGTCTATTATTCATTACTTAGGTAAATTTCATAGATATATTATTTATTGCGTAGGCAAATAAAATGTTATTATGTTCATTAGATAGGTAATTAAATTTTATAGATTTACCGGGTGCGATAGATATTTATCCGTTACTGACTTTATTTAAAAAAATAAAACGTTTTAGTTTTTTGCTAAGGCAAGTCCACAAGTTGATCTTAAAAGCAGTAATAGATTTTTTTTATTTATTAATCACAGATTTTAATCACTTTAAACGTTATTTTTAGAGGATGCCCATATTTGAGTAGACGCTCCGTTTATTTATTAAACAATATATTTCTTTATTTTAGTCTACCGGCCTGAATATTCGATAAATCTTATTTAAGAAAATAAGCGCGCTCATGTAGAATTCGAACCTGCGTCCCTCTGGACAGAGAGAAAAAGTCTTTAGATACGATCGGTAAAGCTTCTTCGTGGCCGAGTCGTTTCAGTCACGTCGGATCTAAGTACGGTTTCCCTCTGCTTTCGGAAAGCGCATTTTTTTTCTACAGTTAAAAATTTCTCGCCTGACCAAACAAAAACTTTGAGGCTCACGGCATCTCCAACATTTTCTCTCTGCCAATTCGTTTTTAATTAAAGGCACAAAAGAGCAAATGTCGTTAGTGAATTTTGTATGGTGGTAGCCATAAATCCTCTTTCACAATCATCCTTAGCAACCTATTTGAAACATTCGGCTCCTTTGCCAGCTTCTTTATGCTTCTTCGTGAATTTCTCTTCACCCTCTTCTTGACGGCTTCTATGACTCTCCTTGTAAGAACTGAATGGTTTCTCCCTGGAATTGGATTTGGTGAAATTGTTTGCCTCTCTCTAAAGTTTTACCACATTAAAAACAGTTTAGCTGCAAACATCCGACTTCTTTTATCCCCTTATAATTCTTCATACCAGCCATTTTCAATACGACAATATGATGCCGTTTTGTTTGAGCCGCCATATTTAATTAAACTGTAAACAATAAAACAAAAGAATATTAGGAAATCTTACGCAAAATTTGAAACTATTTTTACGAATAGGTATATTTCAATTTGAATCATGAGTACATTCTTGTTTTAAAAAATGGGTAAATATTTATGCAGCATCGGGTATTATTTATTACCTAGGTAATTAAATGTCATAGATCTATTACCTAGGTAATTCAATTAATAAAAAAAATGAATTACTCAGATGAAGCGGTATTGAAAGTGCCATAATCTCCGAATCACCTGCGGTTAATATACATCCGGGCTTCTTCAGTCTGTCACTTGTTTTTTTTTGTTTTTTTCCTAAACTTGTGTTGAAACAATGTGACATACAACAATTTTATAACAAATAAATATATAAATAACAAATGAGTTAAATTAGTAAAATATAGTTTAAAAAAGGATCCAGTTAAAAAAAAAAAAAAAAATCTACAGCTCATATGACAAACGTGAATGTACAGGGTGCGTATTGCCAGACATGAGCAAGTGGCAACACTGCGAGACAGTGACCTTGAGCAAGTAAATATTTCAACATTTAGAATTCAAGATGAAATTCACAGTATCCCAGCTGGGATGTTGCAGCAGTCAATGAGGAATCTCAACAGCAGATTTCAAGAATGCATTCGTACAGGACGTAATTT